ATGTTTTCTCTGATATAAGGAGGCTGACTTATAGTGGGGTAGGGAGGGGGAGCATGGGAAGAATAGATGAATTCTAGATAGGGAAGAGGGATTGGGAGTGGGCAGGGGACTAGCAAGGATGGTGGAATGTGATAGACATCATTATCCAAAGTACATGTATGAAGACACTAAGTGGTGTCAACATACTTTATATACAACCAGAGATATGAAAAATTGGTCTGTATATGTTTAATAAGAATTGTAATGCATTCTGCAGTCATTTATTTTTTAAAAAAATCAATAAAAAATAAAAAATTTAAACAAGTAAACACTTGTGTCCTGAATACTACAGAGCACCAATGAAAGCAATCAAGGTCTAAACAAATGGAGAGACATGTTCATGGATTGGAAGCATCAGTGTAGTAAACAATTTCAGTTCTTTCCAAATTGATATGTAGGTTTAATATAATTACCATCCAAATTTCCACTAAAACACTTTTGAAGAAGATTAAACTCGAGTCACTCTTCCTAATTTCAGTATTTATAATGTAGCTACAATAATCAAGGCAGTGTTGAGAGATCATAGATAAATGATACAGAATAGAGAATCAGGATGATTTTTAAAAAACATGCAGACTGAGGTCAATGGAAGAAATAGTCTTTGCAACAAGTGATGCTAGAGCAACTGGATATCTCTGAGAAAAAGTAAACTTCTACCTAAATCGCATACCTTATGCAAAAATCAATGCAGCAATCAGTGCAGCTAGGATAGGAGAAATTCATACATTCCTGTTGGGAATATGAAATGGTACAAAGATTCTGGAAAATTGTTTGGGACTGTTTTTAATAAGATGAGACATATAGTTACCAAGTAACCCAGTGATTTTACTTCTGAGCAGAGAAGTGAAAACTTACTATTCAAAACCTATATGGACGAGGCGTGGTGGTGCATTCCTGTAATCCCAGCTGCTCTGCAGGCTGTAGTAAGGGGATCATGAGTTCAGAGCCAGCCTCAGCAAAAGCAAGGTGCTAAGCAAGTCACTGAGACCCTTTCTATAAATAAAATACAAGATAGAGCTGGGGATGTGGCTCAGTGGTTGAATGTCCCTGAGTTCATTCCTCAGTACCAAAAACAAAACAAAACAACATCAAGAACAAAACTATATGTAGTTGTTCACAGCAGCTTTATTTGTTCTAGCCCCAATCAGGAAAAAACCAGTTTTCTTTTAGCAGTCCTTGGTTAAACTGTGGTGATCCATACTATGGGATTACTTAACTATAAACAAAAACAAACTATTGATTCACAATAGTGAAATGATTGTTGGGCTTTGTGTTGAGTAAAAAAATTACATACTCAGCCTGTATGATTTTACATAACATTCTTAAAATGATGAAGTTACATGGATTACTGGTTGCCAAGAGTTAAAGATGAGGAGGAAAAAGATGTAAATATAAAGAGGTGGCAGAAGGGGGATCCTGCAGTGATGGAATAGCTCTGTATCTGGAGTAATTTATACATGTGGGAAATGGGGTAGAACAATTTGAACATACTGTGTCAATGTCAAATCTTTGGGTTTAATTTAACTGTAATTGGATTGCAGTTATTGGGGAAAACTGGATGAAGGGCAGAAGAGACTTCTCTGTATTACTTCTCCAACTTTCCTATGAATCTTTATTTAATTCAAAAATAAGATTTTTATTTTGGTTTTTGAGACAATCTTACTTTGTTGCTGAGGCTGGTTTTGCACTCCTTTGCTTAAGCTATCCATCTACTTCAGCCTTCCACAATTTTGGGACCGTAGGTATACACTACCACATACAGCTTTAAAAAAAAATTTGTATAAAAACTACTGTTGAGTTTATGTAGTCTTTCAGAAATTTTATTTGAACTTTCATAACAACCCTGCAAATTGCAGGGATCCTGTCCATTTAACAGATGAAGCTGAAGAGGCTCCCATTTATTTTTCTCTGAAGTCAGATGCATCCCTGAGGTTCATTAAAATATGGTAAATTGCTCAAGGTTACATGAGTGAAAACAGAGAATTTCATTCTTAATTGCCAAAGTCCACATCCTTCCTACTTCTGTATGCTGCCTCTTCTGAAGTGCTTGTGTCTTGAAAGGGCCTCACGCATGCTAGACAAGTACTCTACCACCGAACTACACCTCCAGCCTTCATTTGTTTATTGATAATTTATTTGTTTTATTTACTCATTTAACAATCATTTAAGTATTATGTTTGAAACACATAATGTATGATACAGAAATGAATGATAGAATCCTTTATGTTGCTTAGAATTTAGTGGAAGGGACAGGGAAATAAATGATTTTGATACATCTTATAAAATACTGAGATAAAGCTGAATGAGAGGCTTCATTGGAGCATCTTTGGAAAAGGAGAAGCATTTAACCTCTGCTGGTGTAGTAGGAGGTTAACCATATATTTTGCATATCCTTCTTGCTGAGAAATGTAGCATAGTTGACAGCACAAAGAGAAAATTCATGTAGATAGATAAATTGAAATTTGTTTACCCCACATCCTATAGTTTGTGAAAAAATAACAAAAACTGATGATGAAAATAGTGGAGATAATATAGATAGGAGAAAATAATGAAACAGTAAAAGCTTGAATTGAGAACTATGAATAGACTTCTGCACATGGATTCTGTACAAATTTTGCTTCAGGTGAGCTATAGATTTGGCTTTGAAGTACTGTGAGGCAAAGACAAACAAGGAAATAGTAGTTAAATAGTCCATAGATATTAGGGACTCCAAAAGAGGAATATATTTTCCTGAAATTGAGGACTAAGTAGAGTTTTTCCCTGAGAATTCTCCTAAAGAGTATTCTGTGATATATAGTGGGTAACATTTCAGTTACTTCCCTAAAATATATTTTACAGTGAGTTCAGTGAGATTATTTCTTATAGTGTATCTGGAGTTTCACTGTATATACGTTGGAGATGTTGGGAAGTTTGAGCTGGACAGGTGAGTAGGGCTGGGGTTTTAAATGGCATTTTTGTTTTGCTCTCAGTGTGATTAGTCATCATAAGGTTACAGTAGTGACTCCAAAATTGTGTTTTCAAAGAATTTTTATTATATGGTAGCAGGCCATAAGAGAAGAGAATAGGTGGCTCAGGCTCAGGCCAGCTGTGATAAGAGTTTGAACTAAGTAAACAGAGCCTTTTTTCTTTATTTTCCCTTCTTATTTAGAAATTCTTAAATTTTTTTTTGTTTCACATTTTTGATAATTTAGACTCTTTACCTCAAAATCTCATAAATTAGTGTGCCTTACAAAATGCCAAAGCAAGGATTGGAGTAAAAGAATGACTTTTTATGCTTCTTGGTGTGTATTAGTGGGGTGAAATAGTTGATACTAGGATATATCATTAAAAATAATTCATGACCTGGAGGATATTCTTGATATATAGTGACAAATTGCAAAGTTTACATTTTTAAAGTAAACTTTGTTGTTTAGGATCTGAAAGAAGATCTCTCTCTACTTATTTGAGAAGGTTAAGGTCAGGGCAAGACTAATGTTAGAATTAAGAGATTGGAGATTTAACAATGTTAGATACTCCTCAAAGACAGACTATTTCTTCTGATTTGTTTGTTTTTGTGTTTTTACATCTTCTACAGGACACCAACTCTGTGTCTTGAAAATAGTAGGTGCTCAATAATTGACTGTTAAAGAGCTGGGTGTAGTGGCACATGCCTATAATTCCATCTACTTGGGAGGCTGAGGCAGGAGGATCACAAGTTCGAGATGAGCCTGGCAACTTAGCAAGAAAGATCCTGTCTCAAAATAAAAATATAAAAAGGCGGGCATGGGGGCTGGGGTTGTGGCTCAGCAAGAGAGTGCTCGCCTAGTACGTGCGAGGCCCTGGGTTCGATCCTCAGCACCAAATAAAAATAAATAAATAAAATAAAGATATTGTGTACAACTAAAAAATAAACATTAAAAAAAAAAAAAGGTAGGCATGTAGTTCAGTGGTAGGATGCTTGACTAAGCATGGGAGAGTCCCTAGATTCAATCGGCAGTACCTCAGGGGAAAAAAATTGTTAAATATGTAAGGGTTTGTGCCACTATTTTGTCTCATAGATGTTTCTGTTATTGTACTTAACATATTTCCTTCAGTAAACAAAAATTCTGAGGGAAGGCATCTAATCTATTTTAGTATTTGTGGAATAGATGGCATAATTTCTGATATAATTGTTCAGTGGGTCTAATATGTTTTTTTTTCCTTTAAAGGCATTTGGATACCTTCGTGATAGAAAAGCCCCTTTTCTTCACCGTTGATGGTTTGATAGTGGGCTGGGAAGGAAAGCTGTGGTCCTCCATAGTAGTCAGCAAACACTTGATTGATTTGGTATTTAGCTTAGTCAAGTAAGTTACTATGTTCAAAAGGACTTTTCTAAGAAGTTAACATATTTTGATAACAGTAACTAGAAATTTAATTCCAAAGAACTCTTAATGATATTTATTTACATTAGTTTTAAGACTGTGGTTTCTTTATTATACGTTTAAATAATTGGCTCTTTTTTTGAGTGGTTTGTTAAACATGAATCCTGTTCAAGTCCTTTCTTTAATGAACTGGAAGTTATCTTAAAAGACATAGGTTAGGGCTGGGAATGTAGGTCAGTGGTAGGCATGCACAAGGCCCTGGATTCTAGCCCTAGGACTGTAAAAATAGTAAATAAATACAAAGATAAGAAAAAGATATAGCTTACATTTTAAAAAAAATTTGGTCTGAAGATGTGACTGTTAAAACCCTTGCCTAGCATGCATGAGGTCCCTGGGTTTGATCTCCAGCATTACAATAAATAAATGGCTAAAATTTTTTAAATTTTCACTCAATACTTTTTTCAAGTAGGTAATATATTTGTATGATACAAAGAGTTATACAGTTAAATCTCTTTACCCAGGAAGCAAATCTCCCTTTCTGATTACACTCACCTAGTTTCTATCCTCAGAAGGAAGCTAAATAAAATTTTAATGTGATTATTCTCTTTCTAATTATAACAGATTGAAGACCTCAAACAGACAAATCATGGCTTGGAAGAATGCGTTAGGAAACTCTTGCATAGTAAGGAAGTGGTAAGCAGTCAAGTAAACGATTTAACCAACCACAATGAGCATCTTTGTAAAGAATTGATTAAAATTGACCAACTAGCAGAGCAACTAGAAAAAGAGAAAAATTTAGTGGTGGATACTGCCGATAAGGAACTTGAAGGAGCAAAGGTACTACTAGATTTTCCACGGTTGGGGTCTTAATTCTATTTTAGACATGTAATTATTAAATATAATGGAAAAAATGACATTCTCATATTAACTGGAGGCTTTTTAGATTTGACGTTATATTTAAATATCTATACAAAGGACTAAATTATGTTTCTCACATTTTATTTAAAAATTTTTGCTCAAGAAGTTTTCTAAGTAATATGTAGTCATTATAACAATTTCAAAACAACAGGAACAGGATGTTGGAAATAGACTGTTGCTCTCCCTCCCCAATCCTTTTCTCTGCAGAAAAATCCACAAAGAGGTAGATCTATTTATTTACATCTGTTCATTTTCATGTACATTTATTTCATATTTAATGAAGGGATTTTACCCAGATTTAAATTTCTCTGCAATTAAACTTACTAATTCATTCTTTGATGACTTCTGAGTTGTGGCTTTGGTTTAGGGAATTCCCGTCATCCCAAGAACTACAAAAAAGTTCTCTAAAGTTTTAATCCTTTTTATGGTCTTTTAAAAAATTTAGTGTTTCTTGAATTTCATTTGGTTCTAGTAAACTGTATTGGTTTTGTCTTTCCCCAGTGATATGAAGTACCATTTTTTTAAACAGTTTTTTTAATATTTACTTTTAGTTATAGTTTATTTTACTTTATGTAGTGCTGAGGATCGAACCTAGCGTCTCACACGTGCTAGACGAGCGCTCTGCCTCTGAGCCACAACCCCAGCCCTAAAGTACCAGTTTTTTTTAAAAAAATTTTAGTTGTAGATGGACACAATACCTTTATTTTATTTTTATATTTGTATGTAGTGTTGAGAAACAGTGCCTTACATGTGTTAGGCAAATGCTCTACCATTGAGCTACAAGCCCAGCCCTAAAGTCATTTTAAATAGTACATCCTATGTCTGTGGATGTATTTCTGGACTATGTGGCCTCTTTGATTAATTTTCCTTTTCTGTGCCAGTACCATATAATTTTAGTTATGGTAGCTTTATGGCATTTTGTTAAACATTATATTTCTCAATTGAATTTTAGTACTCTGCCATAAAATTTAGAAACCAGGGATTTAAGCATAATTATAAAATGAATACAGTTTCATTTCTCTTGCTGCCTAATTGCTTAGATGCAAGACACAACCTATTGAACTTTTAAATGATAAATGTGATATTGTGCTTATCTGGATTTTATTTATCACCAAATTTGTAAATTGTGTATGTAATGACATAATTGTTAATATATGTTGTTCCTTAATATCATTTTAACATACCAAGAGTCTGTAGCATATAATGAAGCATATAATTTATAAATGATCAGACTGAACATATTAATATAGTGTTAGTTGCTATAGTAATTTGAAATATATAAACCTGGTTGATGAACTCTAGGCTTGTGAGTTTTTGTGCAGTAATCTTTCTTTCCTAGACTGTGTAAAAGATAAGACTAAATCAATGAAAAGTCTAATAGTGGGCTATTTAAATACTAAAAGTTTATTACTTTAATGTAAGGACACACTCACCTCTGTCAGAGTCTTGCCTGAAGAAGTCCTAGAAGGACTACTTAAAAGAGTAGAAAAGAATGGTTTGTCTTCAACTTGTAAATAATTTACCTTCTAATGGATGCTACTAACATATTTGAAGGACATTTAAAAGTAGTTTGTATATTTTAGCATTTCTCAATAATAAGCCTTTAGTTTGCCTGTTACTTTATTTAATAATAGTTATCCTTCATTCACAGTTTAATGGTAAATTTGAGTTCAGTCTTTCTATAATTATAAAAATTACCAAATTGAGGTTTTATTGTTTTCCTTCTTTAAATTAAAAATAAACTGCACTATTTCCAAAACTGAGGGAAGCCTAGATTGGCTGAATTCCCACAATGAGAGTGCCCTTTTTAGAAGTCATTAGTTTAAAGGGTTATTTAGGGTCAGTATTCTTCAGAGAGGGCAAGAACTGTGTTAGGCTGAATTCTCTGCTTTCAAAAGGAAAAACATCTAAAATATAAGAAATATGGAAAACATCTAAAATATAAGAGCTAGGATTTCCTTAAAATATTAAATTCATGAATGGAAATTTTGCCTGGCCCAGACAAGAGTATTTCTGGAATGTTGGATGCGTTTGAGAATTGGAAAGCTATCTGAACTTTCAAGGAAGATCTGGGCAGCAGTTTTGGAGATAGTATTGTTGATGCAGGGAAGATGTAGGAAATTTTAATAGAGAACAAAATGGAAAGAGATGCTTTGAATTGGTAGAATGCCCTGAATTGAGGAACCCTCCAGCCTCAGTAAATCAGTGTCGCAGATAGAATGGGGAATAGGAGATGCATGCCCGACATTGGGAATATGAATATCAAGTGTGTTGTCACCATTCCCACATCATTGGGTGTGCTATTTAGGTGTATAATCACTGGACATAGATTCCTTGCATAATATGTGGACAGAACTTGAAACGAAAATTTTTAATTTGTTGACAAAGAGTGTTTGGGTTCCTATAGCATTGGAGATTTTGCTATAAGTACTAGGAAGTAGGGTCTGAGGCTAAAGCTGCTGTTAGTTTGTCTGGAATTGAGATAGTATTAAATTTATTTACTGGGAGGAGTTTACTTTTAGTCATATTTTTAAAGGTCAACAGAGTTAACATGTTTTGAGTATTATATTAGTTATTGCTCTGTAACAAATTATTCCTAAACCTTAATGGTTTCAAACAGCAAACATTTATATTTTAGGTTCCATGAACCAGGAATTCAAGAGTGGCTTACCTGAGTGGTTCTGGTTCACAGTTTCTCAGGAAATTGACAAGACAATGGCAGGATGCGGTCTTGGCTTGACTATTCTTGGAGAATTAGCTTCTAAGATGGCTTATTTAGATGGTTATTGGCTGTTGGCAGGAGGCCTCTGATTGTTGCTAAGTGAACAGCTCCCTAGGGTTGCCTGACATGTTCTGTATGGCAGTTGCCCACCCGTTCCCTAGCCAGTGATCCAAGAGAGATAGTGCCACATCTAGTGTGGTGTGCTGACTCCAACTTTTGCTAGTATACTATGTAATTTATTCATTAGTGTTTTTTTTTTTTTTTTTTTGAGTTGTTTATCCCAGCTAGAATGTTGCCCCAAGGTAGGGATCTTCACTTTTTTTTTTTTTAATGTTAAGTGCCTAGAACAGATACATGAGTGCTTATTGTATATTTTTTTGAGTGACACAGTTACTATCTGACATATATTTTGACTGTACTCTTTTTCTTTCTTTCATTTTAGCCCTGGGGATTGAATCCAGCAGCACTTTACCACTGAACTATATCCCCAGCCCTTTTTATTTTTTATTTTGACATAGGGCCTTGATAAGTTGCCCAGGCTAACCTTGAAGGGATTCTTTTGTCTTAGCCTTCCAAGTAGCTGGGGTTACAGTCATGTGTCACTGTGCTCAGCTTGTTTTTTTCTTTTTGGCTAGAGTATAAACTCCACAAGGGCAGAGATTTTTGTTTGTTTTATTCAGTACATATCACAGTATCATGCATTTAGTAGACAATAATTGAATAATTGTCAAACAAGTAAAATCACTGGATTATCATTTTTTCATTTGGGCCAGTTATAATTTTATTTTTCAGAGTAGAGTCAACATTTTTAATCATTATAATACAAGTATGGGCTTGGACTGTGGCTCAGCAGTACAGTGCTTACCTAGGATGGGTGATGCCTTGGGTAGCACTGCAAAAACAAAAATGACATGTTTTTTATAAGAATTTAAGTCCACATACAAAAGTATAATGAAGATAAAGCATCTGCTCTAGTCACACCTTGTTAGGCATAGATATAATCTGTTTTCTTTTGTTTCTATGTTATTGGTTATATCTTATCCTGTCTTATCTATGTTTAGGATGTATGTGTATAAATTTATTTTTTATGGAAAAATGTCCTATTAGATATTCTGTTTTGTTGATTTTTTTAATACTTAATTTAGAATGGGAATTTTTACACATTATTTTTACTAGACTCATGTCTTTTTATTGTCTATGTAGTAATATAAATTAAAACATTAGAAATTATCCATTCAAAACTATTCATAAGCTTATCCAAACTCTAAGTTCCAAAAAATAGGATCTCTTAATATTTCATAAATTTAAATCTGACTGCCAGACTTCCAGAAATTTTAGAAGAGAACTTTTCTTTGATATAAAGAGGCTGATTCATAGTGAGATAGGGAGAAGGGAGCATGGGAAGAACAAACCAACTCTAGATAGGGCAGAGGGTGGGAGGGGAAGAGAGAGGGGGCATAGGGTTATTAATGATGGTGGAATGTGATGATCCTTATTATCCAAAGTACAGGTATGAAGACACAAATTGGTGTGAATACACTGTGTATACAACCAGATATATGAAAAATTGTGCTCTATATGTGTAATAAATATTATAATGCATTCTGCTGTCATATATAAATAATAAAATAAAGTGGAAATGCTTAAAAAATTTAATGAAGAGGGCTGGGGTTGTGGCTCAGTGATAGCATACTTGCCTGGTATGAGTGAGGCACTGGGTTCATTCTCAGCACTGCACATAAATAAATAAAATAAAGGTCCATCAAAAAATGATTAGAGAGCAATAGTTTCAGAAAATTGAAATCTAAAATATAGGGAGTATGTGAGTGAGCTTTTTGTTGTTCACAATATACTTGAGAAAATAAATTTAAAAGGAGGAATTGTTAATTTTGGCTTAAAGTTTCAGAGATTTCATTCCATGGTTATTTGACCTGTTGCTTTTGGACCTATTGTGAGGTAGCATATTCATGGCAGAAGTTCGTGGCAGAGGAAAACTGCTCATCTCATGACAACCAGGAAGCGAAAAGAGAGAGGAAAGGGCCAGGATCCTTACATATACTTCAGCAGCATGCCCCAGTGACCCCACTTCCCTGCACCAGGCCTTAACTCCTGAAATTCCCACCACCACATCCCAATAGCACCATTAGCTGGGGAATAAGCCTTCAACACATGAGTCTTTGAGGAAATTTAAGGTCCAAATCATAAGAGCAGGCAAGATTAGGACACATGGGGAAGTTGATGAATTGAAAAATATGTTCATTAAACCAATAGGCTAACTTTCAGCAGAAAGCCTTATTGCCTTACATAAAAACTTGGTCATTCTCCTTTACAAACATATAGTGTAGACATATGCTACATATATGACTATAGGTGGCAGTGCTTTAAGACTTGGTAGGTTCAGTGTCGCAGGAGCGATACAAAATCTATTAAGTGGATTGAATTGAACTAAGCTATTTAAAGTAGTTTTGAGGAAAAGGCAGACTCTTCTAAATGGTATAATTTGAGGAAACTTTTTTCCTAATCATTCTTTATAGACTTCTTATTCAGAATTATAACTAGTAATAACATTTTGTTCTAGTTCATAGGGAGTAATTTGGTAAAATATAACTCATTATTTTATATAAAACATTAGGTGATTTAAAGGAACTCTTTGTTTCATTCTAGGTTATTTTACCATTAAAGGTTGGTAAATACAGGGGTGGGTTACCTTTTTTAAAAAAAATATTCACTGTTTTTAAGTGAATTCCTGTTTTTGTTTTTGATGCTCTTCCTAATTGAATCAGCTTAAGTATCTTTAACATGAATTATTTCTAATTTTACAGATTGAACTCATTTGCCAGCAAAATAATATAATAGTATTAGAAGATACAATAAAAAGGCTTAGATCTGTAAGTACACTTTTTGAAAATATATGTAAGGAATCATTTTATCCAGTTAAGTAACCTACAAAAATAATTGTATATATATATCATACCTTTTGTAAGCAATAAGAATTTTATTTTTCAAAAGTCAGCACCCCAGGCTGGGGTTGTGGCTCAACCATAGAGCATTCACCTAGCATGTGTGAGGCACTGGGTTTGATCCTTAGCACCACATAAAAATAAATACATAAAATTAAGGTATTGTGTCCAACTACAACTAAAACAAATATTTAAAAAAAAAAATCGGCACCTGCTACTGGGCCACAGCAGTATCTCCATCTGAAAGAGCGATGCTTTTCATTGCTCCATTTCATCACTGCTTTCTTTCTTAAAACAACTTTTGGTTGGTTTTTACTAATGACTTTACTATTTTTAAATGTTAAATAATGGCACTGAAAATTTTAATTTTTAAAATATAAGATGAAAATATTAAATTTTTTTATTGCCTTTGGTATTATTTTTAAACCATAAATTGTTTTATTTCTTTTATTTTTTTTTAGTACTGGGAATTGAACCCAGGGGCACTCAACCACTGAGCCACATCCCCAGCCCTGTTTTGTATTTTATTTAGAGACAGGGTCTCACTGAGTTGCTTAGCGCCTTGCTTTTGTTGAGGCTGTCTTTGAATTCTTGATCCTCTTGCCTGGGATTAAGGCGTGCGCCTGGCCATAAATTGTTATGTTTGATTTATATGATAACATGAAATGAAAATTGCTCTGTTTAAATATTTTAATCTTATCCTTTAAAACATTTTAAAAACTTTATAAAATGTTTGTAACTTTTTCCCAAGAAAGTATTGATAAAAAAAGGTAAAAATATTGTAAATGTTTCTAAATGTATTAAAGTAAATCAGAATTCATGGAAGTGCATTTGAAAGTATGTAATATTCAGCTTCCACTCAGTTTATTCATTCAATGCACAATTATTGAAACTGACCAATGTGTTAAGAGTAGCATGTAAAGTTTTTTTTAGAAGCAAATTCATTTTATTTCTAAGACTTATATTAGGTTTTGGATATTCTTGGTATTTCTGCCTTTTTTGTTACCATTTTTTCTTCAAAATTAGGAGTATTTTTTTAGTCAAATAAAAATATAGCACATCCAGTAATGGTGAAAAAGAAAACTATCTAATTGCATTTTTAAACCTATTGATGAATAGTTTTTTAAATGTCCAGTTTTTAAAATATCAAATTTAATATTTTTAAGGATCTATTTGTTTTCCTTTAGAAAAGTATGCTATAGTTTAGCTTTAAATAATTACCTAATTTTTTCCTCCTTGGCAAGATAATTTTAGAGACTGAAAAAGCACAAAATAAATCTCCTTCTAGACTTGATTCCTTTGTAAAGACTTTAGAAGCAGACAGAGATTACTACAAAAGTGAAGCTCAGAATTTGAGAAAAATGCTCAGAAGTAGATCTAAAAGTCCAAGACGCCTGTCTCCATCTTCTCGGGTAAGTTGGAAACTTATAAATATTTTGAAGTTTGTTGCTCAAACACTGACTGTTATTCTTTGATTTACCTAATCTGGGAATACTTTGTTTTGATTTGGCATGAATTTTTGTATCACAAAAATTGGGGAAAAAAGGTGTCTTTGAAGGCAGAGTGGACAACAATATTGGTTTTTTATTTATTGGTGGTTAGGAGGTAATTAGACAAATTTGGAGCAATTTGGGATGAAACTGTTGTAAAAGGGAGGTGACTTTTGTTATTTATTCTTCACTATTTCATTGAATTAGAGATTGTGTTTGTATAATAGAGATTAGTACCGTATGTGAAAGAAGAACTTCACATTCTGTATAATTGTAGGGTGCAAACTGTGATGTAGAGCTTTTGAAGACAACAAGAGATCGTGAAGAACTTAAATGCATGCTGGAAAAATATGAGCGTCATTTGGCAGAAATTCAGGGTAATGTCAAGGTTCTTACATCTGAGAGAGACAAGACCTTCCTTCTTTATGAACAGGTAAACTTATTTATAAATAAGCAAATTTTATAAGTAACAACATGTGCTTTTAGAGGTATATAATTTTTTAAGTTCTATGAAGTTCTTAAACCTATCAGTCAAATTAATTTAACCAATATTTGGGAATTATGTTTATTCTTAAGATATTCCTAATGAACGGTAACATATTTCTAGTTTTATATGAGTACTCACATATACTTATACCCTCTAAAAGATTATACACATGTGTAAAAATAGTCTGATTTTTGGACTAAGAAATGAGGCTAGGGGTTGGGATATAGCTCAGAGATAAAAAACTTGCCTAGTATGCATGAGGCCTGAGTGTTGAATCCCAAGCACCATAAAAATTAAAAAAAAATAAAAGAAAGAAAAGAAAATGAGGAAAATGTATAATGATAGGATTTGGTGAGTTCAAGGTAAAAAGATCAGGATTTGAGTGTTAAATACTAACATTTTATTTTGGAAACTGCTGTATAATTTACTTAATTTCAGAGAGTAAAATCACATTGTAGTTTATCTCTGTCTTGTTGCTTAAAAATGCATAGCTTTTGTGAATCAGATGGCTTTTTTAACCCCAAACTGTTAAATCTCATGATTCACAACATAATTTCTGTTAGTTAACTATTTGCAGAGTTCTAGGGTTACTACTCTAAAGGATAGAAAATTTTTTTTGCTATAAGTCTGCACTGTAATCAGGGAGATAAAAGTATATAGTGTTTATTTTTGTTGTTGTTACTATAGGGTAAGTGGTTTGGATGATGTTTTAAGAAATAAAAGAAGTAAGCATTTTTAGTTAGGGTGATCAAGAAAATCTTTGTAAGATGTGGAATTTCAACCCTGGAGAATGAATGGGACTTCTATTATCCTGAAAGGGGCAAGAAGGAACATCCAGCCTAAAAGAATGGTATGAGGCAAACGATAAAGTAAATCAACAGATAAATAGGTCAGCTTAAGACTAGAGCAGATTGTATTTGTTGGTGAAGTAAGAGACATTAAGACTTGAAAGGAATATTGAACTAGAGCAGGAGTCTAGAAACTTTCTGAAAGGCCCAAATAGTAAATATCTTCAGCTTTTCAAGCCCTGTGGTCTCTGTTGCAACTGTTCAACTCTGTTGTAGGTGAAAACAGCTGTAGATGATACATACATTAATAAATTGAAATTATAATAAAACTTTACGGACTCAGAAATTTGAATTTCACATTATTTTTACCTGTTATGAAAAATTGTTCTTTTGCTCCCCAGCCATTTGTTTATTTATTTATTTATTTATTTATCTTTTTAAAAAAATTGTTGGTTGTTCAAAACGTTACATAGTTCTTGATATATCATATTTCACACTTTGAACCAGCCATTTATTTAAACATGTAAAAAAATTCTTGGAAATAACAAATGGCCAATGAATATATATGAAAGAAAGTTTAACATCTTTAGCTATCAGGGAAATGCAAATCAAAACTACATTGAGATTTTATTTCACTTCAGTTAGTATGGCAGTCATCAAGAATACAAATAGTAAAAAATGGCAAGTATGCGGAGGGGGAGAAAGGAACACTTATATGCTGCCCTTGACCCATGTGGGCAGCTGAATTTAAGGTCGCTCATGTGAATTTCCAGAGACACCAGATAAAACACAGATACACTTTACCTTTAAACAAGCTTCAGGAGGGCTTCTCCACTATCAGCCTCAGGCTCCCCAAATGGGAGAGCAAGAGAAAGTCACAAGAGGCTGCGGAGAGAGCAAGCACATTCGGAAATGAACTTTTATTGGGGGGACCCTATTCTTAGAAAGTTCCATCCAAAAAAGGCCAGAAGGGCCAGGGTTATAAGGGACAGGTGAGTATAATTCAACCCAAGGGGCATCACCTATGTCTGAAGACACGCCCTCAACTTTCTGGACCGGAACAATGTCCAGGTCACTACAGAATATAGTGACTGGTCAAAACCTTTCACTTTAGGATGGAAGGCACGAATCCTTCAGAGTGGCTCCTCACACTTATCCATTGATGATAGGATTGTAAATTAGCACAACCACATGGAAGTCAGTATGGCAGTTCCTCAAAAGACTAGGAATGGAATTACCATATGACCCAACTGTGTAACTTCCCCTTATCTATTCAATAGAATTGAAGTAAGCTTACTATACCAATACATGCATACCTATGTTTATAGCCACACAATTCACAATAGCCAAGTTATAGAACCAGGATAGGTGTCTATCAACAGATGTATGGGTAAAGAAAATGTGGTATATATGTCTTTTTTAGGAAAATGGATGGAACTTGAGATTATTCTGTTAAATAGAGCAAGGGTTGTGTATTTTCTGTCATATGTGTAAGCAAGAGGGAAGAAAAGCGAGAAAGGGGCATTGCTCTTGAAATTAGAAGGGACACTGGTAAAACAGAGGCAGGAGATCAGCGGGAGGAAGGAAGAAAGAAAAAGGAAAACTGGGGAATGAAAGTGACCAAATTATGTTATGTTAATTTACGAATATTTCATGATGTTTTCCACTATTATGTACTATTATAATGTACCAATAAAACATTAATTAAATAGAAAAAACATTCCTAGCTTATAGATCTATAAAATCAGGAGGCAGGCTGTATATTTGGCTTTAAACTCTATATAATTTGCTCACTTCTGGACTGTGATGGTAGAGGCTATTCCACAGACCTAATTATGGACTCATACTTCACTTTAAAAGCAGTGTGCAGTTTCTTACTTTTAAAGCAAGAGAAATATGAGCAAAAATCAGTTTTAACCTAGTGGCAACCTTTTATTATCTTACACATAATCTTTCTGTATTTCTATTTTTATGTAACAATTTGTTTTTTAAGAGAGTTAGAGGAGACACACACACACACACTGTGGACTCCTTACAAGATTGTTACAATGTGCATGCACAAGACATTTAAGGACGTAGTGAGGGTGCCATCAGTAGAAATAAATACAGGGACCAATATAAGAGACATGAAGGAAGACATGAAAAGATTTGATTTTAGAGACAGAAACACTATGGTAATATTCACTAAACCAGTATTTTGTGTGATTTATGCCGATATCAAATTTATTCCACAAATGAAAATAATTGAAATTCTTTTTGAATGACAGAATTGTGATAATAGAAGAACTAAGAAAGTCATTGGTGGTTTGAGGAAAATTGTGATTTTGTTGTTAGATGGAGCAAAATCATGGTGATATGATCAGGTAGTTACTGCCATCAGTCAGTAAGAAATATAGGTTTGGAGAGGGGAGAGAGCAGGAGCTGATATGTGGCTCTAAAAGTCATCTTCTTAGAGGTAAGTTCTGAGCCTCATGGTAAATAAAGTCTCTAAATGTGAAGGCTCTACACAGCATAGTAAATGAAGTCTCCAAATGTGAAAGCTCTTCTTAGACAGATATCCTCCCACCCCCATAATCTACAAGAGGCAAAGAGGAAACTTTGAAAGATAAAAAGAAGACAGAAAACTAGGGTAGAAGTTGTTACAAGCACAAGGGAGGAAGGAATCTCAAGAGCAAGGTTATTAAAAATAGTGTCAGATGTTGCCAAAATATGAAGAACAGGAACTGAGAAAAGGCCATGAGATTTGATAAGTTCAGTAGTTGAAATTCTGTAGTACCACAGGGATGGAACACAGGTTATACTGGGGTGAGAGAGTGGTAAGGAACAATTGGCAATGGGTACAGATAGTACTGTGTGTGTGTGTATGGGGGGGTAAAAGAGACATGGCCTGGTAAATGGGATAGTCGGATTAAGTGACAGGTTTTCAAGATAAGGGAACTCTTGTACATAATTAAAGGTGGGGGAGACAGACAGTAGAGAGGACACTGTTCAAGTTGAGAGGAAATAATTATAATTCAGTCAGGGAGCTATAAGAAGGCACTTTAGAATATGAAGTCTGGTGTTTCTAAGGAAGACTTAGCTATGGAAATTGGAAAGTAATATATCTTTCTCTGAGACTTGGAGACTAACTGAAAAGATAGTGATCCCAATGAAGAAGAAAGAAGATAAGGAGACTTACACAATGAAGTCTCCTCTTCAGGTGTGCAATAGATTTGGGACTTGGAGGTCATGAACAAATGTTCAGAGAGTATTGTGGGCTATTGGGAAGGATTGATGGGCTTTTCTGTCAGTGTAGAAGTAGCCCAGAGATGGAAATGGTTTGCACACTTGGAGACAGAAACACTATGGCAATATTCACTAAACCAGTATTCTGTGTGATTTATGCCATTTTCAAATTTATTTCACAAAATAGATAAATGGAGTATATTAAATATATTTCTTAGCAAAACCTTCTCTGTTGCAATGACTTGGCAAAGACATTATAAAGCAAACTCCTATTTCAATTAATTGACTTGCATTTATTTGTATAAACGTATTTGAAAATAAAAATGGTAAAATTTCCTTACTGAACAAATATTAATATAGGCTTGCACTTTAACCAGTTAGGTATAAGCTATATTATATTTAGTTTAAAGCTTGTTTTAAAAAATTATATGTATTTAAATAATAGGCACAGGAAGAAATTGCTCGACTTCGAAGGGAAATGATGAAAAGCTGTAAGTCTCCAAAATCAACAACAGCACATGCTATTCTCCGGCGGGTAGAGACTGAAAGAGATGTGGCCTTTACTGATTTACGAAGAATGACCACAGAGCGAGATAGTCTGAGAGAAAGGCTAAAGGTTTGGAATAGTTTTATCTATCTGAACATGTGTGAAACACAAAAACATTGACACTAAAAGCACTTTATTTTGTCTGTTTTTTTAAACAGATTGCTCAAGAGACAGCATTTAACGAGAAGGCTCATTTGGAGCAAAGGATTGAGGAGCTGGAGTGTACAGTTCATAACGTAAAAAAAAAATCACTTGGCTATAACCTCAGTGGCTTTAAAACCCTTCCTTTTTTTCCCTTTGTTCAGAGAAGTTCTTTTACTTATCTAAGATAGCGTTTATAGTCCTTAAGGTGATGTGTATGATGTAAACAGTCACTTTTTACTTATTTCCTTCTGAAAATGTGAGTAAAGTTTTTTGTGTTAGTTGCAAAGTGTTTTATTTTAAAAAAAACTATTAGAATGTGTTCTCAGGAATTTAAGTAGCTTTACTTCTTTATTTTGTTAAAGATAATATTGCTAGTTATGAAGATATAATAAAGAATTTGAGATGCTATAAATAGATGTTATGACTATAAAATCAGAATTAAGAGAATTTGACTTTTTTCCACCAAGTTTAATTGAGTATATTTATAAAATGATCTATAGTTTTGTTATAATAAGTAAAAGAAATTAGAAAAATTATTTTTCTTTTCATAATCCTACTTTATATGTGTAATTTATTGATGTTGGGTAACAAATAAATCCTTTTGCAGATAGTGTGCATACTGTAGTCAAACTGAACCAGAATGAAAAATGTAGACTGATATGTTTTATTAGTCTTTATAAAAAAGCTACACAATGATTTGCTTTTATTCTTACTATTCTATACCTTATTCATACAATCTTCCATAGCATTTAGGTCTAATCTGATCATCACATTAAGTAAATTTTGCCATAAACCTAGTTTGTACAGAGGGAATATGTCTCTGCAGGAAGACTGCTCTGGCTGTTTTCTTTTTTTTAGCGATGGCAGTAACTTTGTCATTCTACTTGTTAGCTTGATGATGAACGTATGGAGCAAATGTCAAATATGACTTTGATGAAGGAAACCATAACCACTGTGGAAAAAGAAATGAAATCACTAGCAAGAAAGGCGATGGATACTGAAAGTGAACTTGGAAGACAAAAAGCAGAGAATAATTCTTTGAGGTAAACTAAATTACTACTAAATAACTAATGGTTTATAGTGTATGTTATAATGAAAATTATTAAATTTTATTTCTGAGAGGATTATCATGAAGCAGCTGTAGAAACCTCAGGACACATTGAATGATTTCCCCAAGATCAGAGACTGTAAATGGCATACTTAACTGGGAAGTATACTTCAAGTAATATTAACCTTACATTTGGATAATGCCTCAGCTTATCTGAAATAGCTTTTACAAAGCCCTTCCGGGTATTGAGTATATTCAATTTTGGTATTCAATTGTTTAATTTGATTTAATAACTTTACGTTCTGTTCTGCAGTATGAACAATATAAAAAAGCATAAAGCACAGGTTTGATAGTAGCTTAGAAAAGGTGGTTTAGAATATGGTGAAAAGTCATAAAGAACAATAGCATCATGTGGTAGAACTTAATTAATTGAACGTTGAATACATCACCTAACTCTTCCTATATATTGGTATAGTAGCAGAAGAAATATCAATTAAAGTAGCCCATAGGTAATATGTATGTGAGAATGTATTTTTGAAAGACTTCTATCTTAGTGGTTTTACTTTTAGTATCTGTTGATGTGAGAAATAGAGGCTGTACAAATTCAGTAAGTTTGAATTTCAGTACATCTGTGAACATTTGAAAAATGGTGGTTGATATGATTGTGAAATATATTATTAAATCCCAGTATGTCCTTAATCTTTCCATGATCTGTGGCGCATTGTTTGGAGTTGCTTGTCAGGGCAGATAAATATTCAAATTCTTTCCCTTCACATTTTAAAAAACATTTCCTGTTTATAAGAGTATTGAAAACTCAAATAAAATGAAAGTAATAATAAAGCAAGAAAGACACAACAAAGAAAACCTTGCAAAGTGTAAAGTACTAAAAAATAATTGATACAGAACTGTTTCCAGCTCAAAATTGGTTTTCCTGCATATATTTCGTAGCTTTCTGTGTAATTGAGATCACCTTTGTATAGTTTCATTTTTGGCCATTTTCATTTAATCATTTGCCATAAGCATTTCTCCATGGCTTTAGACATTCTTTAAAAGCATTTTAGTAGATTACATGCGATGATAACAGACAGAGGTATAATAATTTAGGGAGCCAGATGCAGTGATGCTCTCCTATAATCCCAGCAGCTCAGGAGGCTGAGGCAGAGGAGGATCGATAGTTCAAAGCCAGCCTCAGTAACTTATCAAGGCCCTAAGCAGCTCAGTGAGACCCTGTCTCTAAATAAAGTACAAAAAAAAGGCTGGGGATTTGGCTCAGTGGTTAAGTGCCCCTGATACCAAAATAATAATAATTCCTAGTATCAAAAATAATAATTTGGAAGATTTTTTGATGCATATTTGTCTTAAGAGTTTTGTTAAAGTGTAATTGACATACCATAAACTGTACCTTCAGTTTGCTAAGTTTTGACCCGTGGATGTGCCTATAAAACTCACCACAGTCAAGATAGTTGCCTATCCTTTACTCTCAGAAGTCTCTCCTGCTCATCTCTAATCCTTTATTTACCCAACCAATCCCCAGGGAACCACTGATTTTATTTCTGTTATGGAGGTTTTTTTTATTTTCTAAAATTTATAATACATGAAATCATACAGTATGAATTGTTTTGTCTGGCTACTTTCAATAAGCATGACTATTTGAGATTCATTCATGTGGCCATATGTAATTAATAATCCCTTTTGATACTGAGTATTGTTCCATTGTATGGATAGGTATGTAGACATTTGGGTTTCCAGTTTTTGGCTATAACAAAACTTCTGAGGACATTCCTAAGTAAGTCTCTGGGTGAACAAATGCTTTGATTTCTAGCATCATTCTGAATGGAGAAAAATTAGAGGCATTCCCCCTAAAATCTGGAACAAGACAGGGATGCCCTCTATCACCACTTCTATTCAATATAGTTCTCGAAACACTGGCCAGAGCAATTAGACAGACGAAAGAAATTAAAGGCATAAAAAT